CAGAAGATCATCAAGAAGATCATACACCCTGACCAAGTGGGATTCATCCCAGGGATGCAGGGATGGTTCAATATACGCAAATCAATCAATGTAATATACTATATCAGTAATGCCAAGGACAAAAACCATATGATCATCTCAATAGATGTAGAAAAAGCATTCAACAAAATCCAACATGCATTTATGATTAAAATCCTACAAAAAATTGGAATAGATGGTCTGTACCTCAATCTGATAAAAGCCATCTATGAAAAACCAACAGCCAATATCATACTAAATGGTCAAAACCTGAAATCCTTCACACTAATATCAGGAACAAGACAAGGATGTCCATTATCACCACTCCTGTTCAATATAGCTTTGGAAAGATTAGCCACAGCAATTAGACAAGAGAATGAACTAAAAGGAATAAAGATAGGAAAGAAAGAAGTCAAATTGTCACTATTTGCAGATGAAATGATACACTATGCAAAAGACCTCACGTGCTCACTTCGGCAGCACATATGCTAAAAATATAGAAGACCCCAAAAACTCCACCAAAAGTATTCTAGATTTAATAACCACATTCAGTAAAACAGCTGGATACAAGGTCAACACACAAAAATCAATAGCTTTCCTCTACATGAACAACAGACTCACTGAGAGAGAAATAGGGCAAACAATTCCTTTCACAATAGCATCCAAAAAACCGAAATACCTAGGAATCAACGTAACAAAAGAAATCAAAGACCTCTTATCTGAAAACTGTAGCACTCTAAAAAGAGAGATTGAATAGGCTATCAGAAAATGGAAAGACATCCCTTGTTAATGGGTAGGAAGGATCAACATAGTGAAAATGGCCATACTTCCAAAACTGCTACATAGATTCAATGCAATCCCAGTTGAAATCCCAGCAGCATACATCACAGACCTTGAGCAAAAAATCCAAAAATTCATTTGGAACAAGAAGAGACCTAGAATAGCAGAAGCAATTCTAGGCAACAGAGACATGGCAGGGGGTATCACAACCCCCATCTTCAAACTATACTACAAAGGTACTATGATAAAAAGAGCATGGTACTGGCAAAGAAACAGACCTGAGGACCAGTGGCACACATTGGAAGATGCAGAAACAACTCCAGACACACTCAGCCACCTCATCTTCGACAAAGGAGCCAAACGGCCTCACTGGAGGAAATATAGCCTCTTTAATAAATGGTGCTGGAAAAATTGGGTTTCAACTTGCCAAAAATTAAAACTAGACCTATATCTCTCACCATGCACTAAACTAAAATAAAAATGGATTAAAGATCTAAATATTAAACCAGAAACACTGAAC